GGGGATCAGTGCGGCCCGGTGGGGCTTGTGGGGGTCTATGGGGTTGGTGGGCCGGTGTGGGTTGGTGGGGTCGGTGAGGTCAGTGGGGGCAGCAGGAGGGCACCGGGGGGCAGTGTGTGTGGGGGCTCTCCTCCCGGCCTGCAGCTGCCTCCTTGCTGCGTCTCTTGGAGGTCTCCTATGCAGTGCTCCCTCCAGGAAGGGCACACTGACCCGTTCGCAGGGCTCCACCCTCCAGACCAATCACCTCCCAGCAGCCTGACGTCAACACCATGGCGCTGGGACAAGGGTCTCAGCACTTGAGTTTGGGGGGCACACAGAGGTTCCATCCAGAACAGTCACTCAGTCGTCCGTTGCATTTATGTAAGTGTGACTCTCAGGAGCGTGCCTGCGTGGACCACTTCCTGAGCTCTTGCTTGTGTGAAAATACGTTGCTGTTGTCCTTATTTGAGGACGATGTAATAATTTGAACAAAACAAAACAAAACAAAACATCGCCCTGGGTTCCACGAAGCTTCCCCAGGAGCCCGTGGATGTCTAACTGCCTGCCTTGAGCAAGTGGGCGAGGGACGGTCGGTCACTGTGGGTCCCTCTCCAGGCAGCTTGTCATTTCTTCTCCCATGGCGGGAGGGCGGCTCTTCAGTGTCCCAGCGTTAAAACTCGCCAGCACGTCGTGTCTAGGCCGAGCGGAGAGCTCCCGGGCGCTGGGCCAGCTGCTGCCGTGTCCCCCACCCCCCATCTCCCACCCCCACCCCCCGTCTCCCACCTCCCCGCACAGCCGCGGCCCTGCCGCCCCGGACAGCCCACCAGGGCCCGGAAGGAGCTGCTTCTCCCCACAGTGGGGGCTCTGGCCGGAGCCCAGGTGGTGCCCAGGGGACTTGGCCAGTGAGCACAGCTGCACCCCGCAGGGCCTGGGGGTGGCCGGATGGCAGAGCAACACCATGAGCTGGACAGGGGCTTCCAGGTGACTCCAGTGACAGCTTCGGGGACCTTAGAAAATAGCCCGTGTAACAGAGGTGACGACAAAGCTGGTGACGTCTGATGGCATCTACTGAGCAGTGTCCACGCCAGGTGCTGTCCGGAGCCCTCCGCATCCACTAACTCGCTTAGTTTCCACATAACTCCGTGACAAAGTCCTGGGGGTAAGGACGCCTTGGCCCAGAAAGGTCAGACAACCCGCCCGAGGTCACACAGCCAGAAGCGGCAGGGCCGGGCCAGGACGCCGGCCCAAGCAGGGGACCCGCGCCCTCAGCCGCCGCCGGGCTGGGCACTCACGCTCGGGAAGGTTTGGGCGTCCTGGGCTCCTGCACTCAGGGACGCTCGGGGACACCTCTGCTCCTGCACGGGCGCCACTGGGACCCACAGAGAGAACCGAGTCTCGGCCTCCAGAGCTCCCGCCTGCTGGGCGGGGAAGGGAAGGTCGCCATGGTGACGGTGGACGAGGCCCGGGACAGCGTGAGAACCTGTGCAGACCAGAGGGCGGGAGAAACGCGGGACCGCACGTGTCCAGATGTAGCCGCATGTGGCTTCCCGCGGGACTGAGCAGACCCGAGAATTGCAACCGCAGAGCAAAGGGACACTGGTGGGTGTGACGGCCACCATGTCGCCCGCGGGAGGTCCTGGCTCTTTATTCTCAATACTAGATAATGGCAGTATGGGGACACATTTTTTTTTTGCCAATATGGTAAAGAATAACACGTCCCCACGGTCCCATCTGCCAAGGTGTGCAGCGGCCAGAGTGCACGCACGCCGCCCTGGGCTCCCGCCACTCCGGGTGGGTGGGCGTTAAGGCTTTTCCCGTTCTTATTATTGCAAACAACCCCACTGCGAGTGTCCCAACCCTCCAGCGTTGGGGACTGTGGCCTTGGGGGCCCATGTGGCCTTCTGGATCGCTGAGTGCAGCCTGTGGACTGAACCCAGATTTCGCAGAACAAACAGCAGCAATAATGTGAGAAGTTTCCGTGTCGCCTGAATTCCTAGCAGTGGGGCTTCCCAGGCCGAGTGTCGGCCGATGTTAAACTCCCAGATGCTGAGCGGTGCCCCCACAGGGACTATTCCCGTTGTGCCAGCTGGCGGTGAGGTCCCAGGAGACGGTGGCGAGAACGGAAAGGCCGGGCCTTCTGCAGAAACGCCAAAGCACTGGCCGGGAGCAGACCCTGCAGCATGGACTTCAGCTGAACTCTGGAAAGGAGAAAGGTCGTCAGGCCCCGCCCGGCCCTGCTGGGCACAGTCCCGAGGTGGCAGGAGCAGAGGGGACCTTTTCCCAGGACCGTGTGGCTGTCCGTTTGTCCCGGAAGACCAACAGGACGCGGCGCTGCTCACAGACCAGAGCTCTCAGGGCAGAGGAGCCGCTGCCTGGGGGCGCCCAGACATTAAAAGCACCAAGCGGCGCAATGTGGCTCACGCCTGTAATCCTAGCTCTCGGGAGGCCGAGCGGGCCGGATTGCTTAGGTCAGGAGTTTGAAACAGCCTGACAACCCAAGACCCCTCTCTACTATAAAGCTGAGAAAGAATATTGGCCAACAGATAATAATGAAAAAATAGCGGGCATCGGTGGCACAGCCTGTAGTAGCTACTCGGAGGCTGAGGCAGGAGGATCACTTGAGCCCAGGAGTTTGAGGTTGCTGTGAGCTAGGCTGACGCCACAGCACTCACTCTAGCGTGGGCAACAAAGCGAGACTCTGTCTCAAAAAATAATAAAAATAATTAAAAAATAAAAGTACCGAACATTTACTGCCACGCAGGGCAAAAGGTGTCGGATGGGCACCCCAAAAAGACTGGGGGTACAGAGCTGGGAGTGAGACGGTCTGGGGAGTAAGGGCTTCCGGAACATCCACGTTTTCCTGGGAGCCTGTAGGGTGCCACACCGCCGCTTGGGGACCTGAGGAGCTCTGGGCGCCCAACCCTGGCCGCCTGCCGGCTCTGGGCCAGCAGGAAGGGACGGGGCAGGCGGGGCTGCGACACCCCCCTGAGTGTGTGGGGCGCCTGCAGGGTCCGGCTGCAGGGCCCGGGAAACATGTTTGATTCCAGGCGTTTAAGGAATTGAAGAACACAGTTGAAGAACACCACATTTTTATTCTGTTTTCATAATAAAACACCATGGCCCCAAGGAAAAAAATGTTTTTTTCTAGCGTGGCAGTCGGTGTGTTAATGATTGAGACTAGTTTAGCGGCCGGACACCTCGTGTAGTCTGGGAAAGGTCCCGTGTGCGCTGGACAGCAGCGTGCTCTGCTGTGGTTGGGTTGCGTGGTTTTGCAAATGTCTGGTATGCCGTGTCCTTCAAACCCCTATTTCCTTATAGGACTTCAACTGCGTTATTTTATTGTATTTTATTTTATCTTTAATTAGAGAGAGTGGCTTATTGAAGTCTCCAGCCGATATTCTAAAACTGGAGCTATTTCTCCGAGCCTGTCGTCTTGCTTCGTGTTGTTTGCGGGTGTGGTGTTGGGGTGTGGTGTTGGGGTGTGGTGTTGGGGTGTGTGTGTTCACGATTGCCGTGGCTTCCTGGAGGATTGGCTTTGATCAGCACTTGCCGTCCTGTGGGCCAGGCCCTGCCGGGCAGTCTGCGCCCGGTCCTCCCTGCCGACGCCCACAGCCCTGGCCATTCCCCTGGCCTGGCCCCGCCCCAGCCAGGCCTCCGTGTCCCCGGGCCACACGCTGTGGCCTCCTGGCGGCACACGGCATCAGCGTGCCTCAGTTGCTCTTCCCAGAAGCTAAGCCTCCAAGCCCCAGTCCCTGACGTCTGGACAGTGGGGCCAGCCTGAGAAAGGCTCAGAAATTCTAGACTGGGGTCATTTCTCCCCCAAACGTTTGGTAGCATTCGCTGGTGAAATTATTTGGGTCTGTAGTTTTCTTAGTAGGAAGGCTTTTTATTTATTTATTTATTTATTTTTTGAGACAGAGTCTCACTCTGTTGCCTGGGCTAGAGTGCCGTGGGGTCAGCCTAGCTCACAGCAACCTCAGACTCCTGGGCTCGAGCAATCCTCCTGCCTCAGCCTCCCGAGTAGCTGGGACCACAGGTGTGCGCCACCATGCCCGGCTAATTTTTTCTATATATTTTTGCAGTTTTCTAATTCATTTGTTTCTATTTTTAGTAGAGACTGGGTCCGCTCTTGCTCAGGCTGGTTTCAAACTCCTGACCTCGAGCAATCCACCCGCCTCGACCTCCCAGAGTGCCAGGATTACAGGCGTGAGCTACTGTGCCCGGCCAGTAGGAAGGCTTTTAGCTTCAGACTCTATTTATTGAATAGATATGGCATATTTGGATCTTTCTTTTGTGTTGATGCTGCTAGTCTAGACAAATCTCTCTGACACCTCCCTGTGTCTCCACCACCAGGAGCTGTAGCTAGACCCCCTCATCATCCCCCAAACCCCTCCTGCCCCTCTGCAGTTGGCCCACACCCCAGCCCGGCCCCTGGCGGCCACTGATGGTTTTGATCCCTTCATCGCCCTTCCAAAAATGTCTGGTGTGTGAACCACACAGCAGGTACTGTTTTGCTGCGTAACAAATGATTTCAACAGACCCTTTGCCAAAGGAGAGACACGAGGGCAGATGAACATACGAAACATGCTCGACACCCTGAGCCACCAGGGAAATGCGGAATGAACCCCGTGGAGCCCCCGCACCCCCAGGTGACAGCGTCACGACAGCCCGACGGGAGGGACCGGCAGGGACGTGGGGCTGGCCCGACCCATCTGAGCCTAAACCCACATCGCACCTGGGCTTTGTTTATGCCCAGGAACCTGCTCCTTTGAGCTCCTTGGTTGCGTGTCTGTCGATTGCGTGTCCTGAGACTTTCATTCCTGCGTTCTCCCTCATGGCGTTGGTTCCTGCGGCCGCCGCAGCAAATTGCCCCAGAAAGGGAGACCCAGAACAACGGACACCTGCTCTCTCCCAGTCCTGGGGGACAGCCGCCTGAAACTCCGGCGTCAGCAGGGCCACGCTGTCTCGGCGCTAAGGAGCCTCTTCTGCCTTCTAGAAGCTTCCACAAACCTTGGCGTCCCATGGCTCGTGGCTGCCTCACTCCAGTGCCCACAGCAGGTGCCACGTGGCGCCTTCCCGCTGCGTCTGAACCGCTGTCCCCTGCCTCTTCCAAAGATTCCAGTCCCAGGGTGTGGGGCCCGCTGCGAAGTGTGGCCTCATCTTCACCACCCACCTCTGCGAAGACGCTGATCCCCAGCGAGGCCACGGCGGAAGGGTCCGGACTGTCGTGAGCGGTGGGGGACACTATTCAGCCCATTTAGTTGTGTTTTCTTTTATTCTCCTCGTGGAGGTCACCACCTGGGTCTCTGACCGTCTAACGTCCACTGTGGCTTAGACCCTGCGCCATTTGATGGACGGCGTGGGGTGCCTGGACCGCGGGACCCCGTGGAGCCCCCCGTGTTCCAGCCTGGTTGCCTTGTGTTTTGTTCTATAAGTGTCATGAAGTCTGCCAGGCATCCCACAGGGTCAGTGCTCACTTAATTACCACTTGCCTGTCCTCCTCTGTTTCACCCATTTCCTTACCGACTTCCTGGCTTCCAGCTGTGCTTGTTGTCTTTCTGCCTTAAATCTCTTTTTGGTACTTCCTTTAGTGCTTTGGTATTTTCTTTCTTCCTACGTGCAGGCTCACCAGGGAGAGCTGGTGTCCTGGGGCTGCCGGGCCAGTGGCAGGACAGGGACCCAGCTCACCAGGGACGGCCCAAGGCACATCCCACCCACCCGACCCTGTGTCCCTCAGTGCCCCACACCCCTGCTGGGTCACCCCCACACCCCTCCTGCCCCCAGGGGACCCCATGGGACGGGCCACAGCCCAGACGTGGCAGGAGTTTACGAGCCGGACAACCTCACAGGAAAACAAACATCTGATGACGGGCTGGCCCGGCACTCAGCAACAAGGAAGGGGCGGCTTGGGGCTGGGACAACAAGGGCGGGAGGGGTATAAAGGCTGACAGCGCCAAGCACCCCACAACACTCACCGCTGGCTCACTCACCCACACTCACCCACTCAACCCCCCAGCTCAGCCCAGCATGGCTGCGTCCGCTGTGTCCGTCTGCTCCAGCGACCTGAGCTGGCAGCGCGTCTGCCTGCCCGCGTCCTGCGACTCCTGCCCGACTCCTGGCAGGGGGACGACTGCCCAGAGAGCTGCTGCGAGCCCCCTGCTGCGCCCCCAGCTGCTGCGCCCCGGCGCCTGCCTGAGCCTGGTCTGCAGCCCCGTGAGCTGCGTGTGCAGCGCCTGCCAGCCCGTCTGCACCAGCACCTGCACGCCCTCGTGCTGCCCGCAGTCCAGCGCCAGCCGGCTTGCTGCACCCCCCTACCCCTGCAGCGTCCTGCTGTGTGCCCGTGTGCTGCAAGCCGTGTGCTGCGGCCGTGTGCGTCTGGCGCTCCTCTTCATGCTGCCAGCAGTCTATGCCAGCCGGCTTTGCTGCACCCCTCCCCTTGCCAGCGTCCTCTGTGTGCCGTGTCTGCAAGCCGTTGTGCTGGTGTGCCCAGTGTGCTCTGGAGCCTCCTCTTCGTGCGCCAGCAGTCTACCTGCCAGCGGCTTGCTGGCTCCTCCCCTGCCAGCCGTCCTCTGTGTGCCGTTGTGCAACCTCGTGCTGTGTGCCCGTGTGCTCTGGGCCTCCTCTTCGTGCGCCAGCAGTCTAGGCTGCCAGCCGCTTGCTGCCACCTCCGTCCTGCCAGCCGTCCTGCTGTGTGCCGTGTGCTTGCAGCCCGTGTGCTGTGAGCCTGTCTGCCTGGGCCTCTCCTCGTGCTGCCAGCAGTCTAGGCTGCCAGCCGGCTGCTGCACCCCTCCCCCTGCTGCAGACGTGCCTCCTGCGTGTCCCTCCTCTGCCGCCCCGTGTGCAGACCTGCCTGCTGTGCCCCCGCCTCCTCCTGCCAGCCCAGCTGCTATCGCCCGGCCTCCTGCGTGTCCCTCCTCTGCCGCCCGGCCTGTCCCCGCCCGGCCTCCTGCGTGTCCCTCCTCTGCCGCCCCACCTGTCCCCGCCCGGCCTGCTGTGGCCTCTCCGTGGGTCAGGGGTCCAGCTGCTGAGGGGCACGTCCCCAGGGCCAGCAGGCTCAGGTCCCCCCATCCATGGCTGTGCCTCTCCCAGCCCCCTCGATCCAGTCCTGGCCCAGGTTAGGCGGCTGTCCCACCTGGGGAGGGGCCCCCACGTCCCTTCTGTGCTGCCCTGACCTCCCCTCCTGCCGCCCAAGGGCTGTCCCACCTTCCCTCTGTCCCTGTCCTCCCTCCCAGTGTCTCTGCTGCGGGTCACGTGGCCTCGATTTGAACCTGTCAGCACCTCTCGGCTCCCAATAAACTCGCTGTGACTCCTGATTCTCTTCTCCTGTGATGCTGGTGGGGAGTTGGGGACAGGGATTTGAGCAGACTGTGGCCTCCTTCTGCCAGGGGCATTGCTAGGAATGAGTGACTCAACCCAGAAACCGCAGGGCAGTGTCCTCTCTCCTCTGGGGTCACAGGCGGGACTCTGGCCTCGCCCAGGAAGGCACAGTCCCTGCCCGGCCCTGCCCCGGCTCCCCAAGGCTGGTCACCCCAGAGTCTCTGGTTGGGGGTCCTCCAGGCCCCCTGGACCATCCCAGCCATGTCCCACCTGAGCAGCCCCAGCCTCCAGAGTGGCCCTGGGAAGCAGCCTGTGGGTCCAGGCTCTGCCGACTCCGTGCCTGGGTCTCCCTCCCGGGGCATCCCGCCCATGGCGCTACCCGCACAGTGGGCCCCCATGGGGGAGAGGGAGGAGCTGCTCCCCGCTCGCGGGAGATAACGGTGTGAGTGGGAGGAAGGATGTTGTCACGAGGATGGAAACGGGCTGCTGGCGTCCTCCTCTGTGGCCATCGGGGTCTGCGTGCAGGTGCGAGAAGGGGTTCATGGGTGCATGTGATGGTCCTCATGCTCATCCTCACTGGTGTGGGGTCACCCGTACCCCTGGAGGCTTGGTCTGCACAAGGAGCTGGAGCCTCCCAGATGTCCTAGGTAGGAAAGATCAGCACCACGGACAGCGGCCGGACAGGGGCCAGGAGGGCGGCCAGCCCCCTACAAGGGCAGGCCTGGCACTGATGGCCTTGGGCTCCCCCCCAGGGGCCTGTCCTGGCTCCAGCCCCATTCTTGTCCAGCTGTTTGTGCTGTTCCCGTGGCCTGAGGGTATTTTCAGCCATCGTTGTGACTTGGGAGGCCCAGGATATGAATCTTTCCCCATCAACAGCCAACTGGCTTTTGGAAAAAGGCCCATCTTCCCAGCCCTATCTGAAATATTTCTTTTACCTTTATAAACCTTATGTTGTCAATTTCTGAGATCTCTGTTTTGTTCTATCAATCTCCTGATCTGTCCTTGCACCAGTTCCAACATGTTTTATCCACTTCAGCCGTGTGATATATTTTAACAGCTGATAAGGAAGGTGTCACCTTCTTATGTCCCAAACAGTTTGGTTATATCTTGTAGACATACTCTGCCCAATTAATTTTAGGATGTTTTTCAAGTTATTTTTTAAAATACTAGAATTTTTACTGGAATTGCATTGAACTTTTTTTTTTAATTTTCGGCATATTATGGGGGTACAGATTTTAAGGTTTCAATAAATGCCCATTCCCCCTCCCCCACAAGTCTGAGTCTCCAGCATGACCATCCCCAGAT